TTGCAGGAAACATGCATAGGACCGCAGCCTTGAGACACGCTGCAAAAAATAATTTTGTTTCTCTGCTAGCCATGCATCGTGCCAGCTACAGACAGGGTTTAAAAAAATAAACCAGCTGCCGAAGCAGTAGAATAAAGGATGCTACCTGACTATTTTTTCTGAGTTACGTGCCTGAAACTGACTTGGCTGATGAAGACATGAAATTAGTCTTACGGAAGCACTATTTGTAAAGTGGGTTTGTTGTGCGCAGTGGGCTCTCGCGAAGCAGAATCAGTGTTGATTCCTTGGAATGCAGGCTGAAGCATTCCTGGCATTGCAGAACGTCCGCAATATTTATTCAAAAGCGACTTGCTTTTTATAACACTGCTTGGAATTTCTGCATCCATTTACATTAATTAAAATTTAGAAAGGACGAAACCCTCCAATTATGCTTTTCTTGAGCCACAACAACCCCAAAGCTGCTATGCAGTCCAGAACTTCCTGCCATTCAAATCACTTCCTTTTCCCTCCCCTGCATCAACAAAAGTTCCAGTTTCATCCGTGATATGTCGGGAAAAGCATGTTCCGTCAGATAAAATAAAATCTCTCTCTCAGAATGACCCCAGCAAACATTCTCAGCAGCAAATGCTTTTTGGGAAATAATTTATTTGGTGATGAGGCAGCTGTAGGCCGTGGTTTGGGGTAATGAAACGGAAGGTGGTCCAGATCATGCAGGTAGGAGATAGGAAGTTATCCCAATGTGGATATTATATGAACGATGCATCTTCGGAGGAAACAGTTGGTCTTGGGTTTTCTCTGGAAGCCCCCGTTTCCTTTCAATGGGGCTCACAGAGAACTCTCCTGTGCATTGTGCCCTAAATATTTTGCAGCAACGTAATTTCTTGACCCCGCACTTTCATTCCGATTGATTCATCAGTGAAAGCCACGAGCTTGCTTCCCACACAATAAAGGCATCGTAAAGTTTTGTTGCTTTTCTATTTCGTATCAAGTAGCAGCCCAAAGTAATTAAGCCCTTCCTCTTAGCATTTCAATGGTTATAATTTTAACTTGCTCAATCCATTCACTGCAATTCTAAACACACCTCTGTTGGAAGAAATGCAATTCAGGTCAGGAAAGAGTGCTATGATTCAATCCTTTAACAATTTGGAAATAAAGCCTTCTAGGAATGAAGACGTTTGCAAATTATACCTTGAACATCGCATTTAGTTTGATACATACACACAAACACACACAGGCTTTGAACTGTGGACATTTGGAGAAATAACAATTACCAAATGCGTAACTGTGAAATTCTGGCAGAAGAAATTTTGAGGAGACTTGGAGAAAAAAATCCACACTGCATTGCCAGCCACTGTGGGTGCATCTAGGATACTTTTATATACAACAAAGCTGTTAGATTCAATTGAATTCAATCAGTCCAATTGAAATTAATGGGGCATACCTAGGATTGCATTGCGTGGCCACAATTCAATGCACCCTTACCCGGAAGTAAGCTAACTGAACACACTGGAATTTCCTTCCCAGGAGTCTTGCCTCGGGCTGAGTTGCAAACCCCATTCTGTTCCTTTCCATGAAGTGTTGCAAGCAATTTCTGACAACGGAATGATTTTAAGGTTAGAAATCAGTCTTTAAAGCAGATGAGAACTTGCTTTTAAATCCTTGCAGGGAGTTTAAATTTGACCCTCTTCCTTTCCTGACAAGTTGCTGCAATCCAGTCATTTAAAACTGTTGGCTTTACAGTGGAGAGGTTCAAGCATGGAAAATCGCATGTCATTTGGGTGTTCTTTTCTGTACCACTGACTTCGCCCTTTCTCCATTCAGTCACTTCTCCATAGTCAAATAGGACTTTGCTTGCAGGGTTTATATGCAATTACAGGAGGAAAAGAGGCAGCACCTATTGCTGAGTTGATATTTTACAACTCTAAAAATGCACAACCCGGACATAAACAAGGTGCTAAGTCTAATTAAATGAATTTTCTCTCTCTTAAAAATGTAGAAGCTTTCCCCAAGTGTAAGCAAGTCTTTCTGAAAGAATGTCCACAAATAATTGGGAAATGCTTGCTTGAGTCATGCCTTTCCATCACACGTGGCTCCGTACATTTCTCCAACTCTCCTTCTCTCACTAAGAAATATTCTCTCGAAGCAAAAGGGATATTGGACAATTTGAGGGGAAGTCCTTGTAATATTGCTTTTCGCACTTCGTGCTGTTAGCTGACGCCTTTGCGTTCTAGTGCAAAGGGTGAGAGCAGATCTGTGGACAATTGTTTTTAAATGTTCAGGGAAAAAAGACACAAATGTACACAGAGCAAAACCAAGCAACATGATCCACGGAGGAGACCAGAGAAAGGCCACTGGGTGGACCAACGGCTCAAATCAGAGTGAGGTTGCTTCTGAATTTCCTAGAAGATGGAAGCAGCAGACGCGGGTCCCAAGCCACTGCGACTCCAACCACCGGGCCACTCTGCTGCCCAGGCCCCATTGAAACAAGAAGTTGTGCTTCTGGGCAATGTCTGTTGACTTCAATGGGACTTGTGCAGGAGAGCATCCCAGTGGAGTGCCCCAGGTTATATACGAAGCACCAAAGTACCACTGGACAGCTCAGCAGTGCTGGTGGAGTTATGTGGGGTGAGGAAGACGAGACCAATTCCTTTTAACTGTCTTAAGTTCCCTCTGCTTAAAGGAGTTTTCCTAAATTCCTCTTAGCTTTTCACCTAAATCTTGCTCTTGTTTGCTCCAACCTGAATGGACGGGCAGTAACAGATTCTTACTGGATCCTGGTCTGACCATCCAAGTTTGGAGAGGGGTGCCAAGACAGTACCTCTGTCTGTCCAATGAAACAAAGGTTTTTAGCACTGTTCTTTACAGATCTGTCCGGGGTAGGAAAATGGAAATGTTTGAGTGACTTGGGACTATTACAACCATGGAATCATTTTATTGCTTTCTTGGAGCGCCCTCTAATGGGAGGCAACCATCTCTGCACCTTTTTCCTCCAGACTCGCTTTTTCGAGGGCTCTCTGCTGTTACCGGTTCAGCTAGAACCCCGGTAAGTTGTTTGTGAGCAAAGGAGCTTGCTTGCCCATACTGTTCATTTATTCCTCTTTGGGCATCATCCATGTGTGTGGAATTGCATACCGGACAGGCAAGCTGATCTCCGCCCCAAAGGACGAGTGTCTAAAATTTGACCCAGACCAGACAACAAAAGTCCAGTTCGCTCGAGATGATGGAGACTGGGGTCCAGCACCTCCGAACGGCAGCAGCGGGGACGTGGGTAGGAGTGGAAAGAGCAGGGTCTCGGGCCCACAGCGCAACAACAAAACCGCACGTTTGCATGTGTGAACGATTCCAGGAGTCAGCAAGAGCTCTGGGTCTCTGGGCAAAATGCCAGTTCATCTGGGGGGATCAGATGCTTCGAGATTCTCTGGGCCCCTGGACCTTTCTTTCAGGAATGCCCCTAGATGGCAGGGGAGTGGGGCAGGGGGTCTCCCAGAGATGTCCTTTGGAGAGGAAAGACTCAGGGCTCCAGCCCCAAACGGACGGACGGTCTCACATCCTCTTCCTTTTTATGAGATTTTTGCTTTGCTGCTCCCACCGGGGAACCACCAGCCCAGCCAGGACTTCGTGTTCTGCCCAGTGGCTCAGCTCCAGACTTGCTGTGGGACATTGTGTGTGTGTGTGTGGTTGTGTGTGTGAAATCACACTCTTAAGAATGGAGGAGAGTGTTTGGCGAAAATTCGGCAAAATGGCCATCTTTTCCCAATAGGAAGAAGAAAAATGGGAGAAAATATTCTGGGAAGTTTCCGTTCCACACCAGTTCTGGGCAGGGAGGATGAAATGAGAAACGGAGGCGGCTGGGCTGGCAAGACGGCTTCAGGATGCCGGCAAGCTGCAGGAGAAAGTGGCAGGAGGAAAAGTGGGAACTTACATAGTTGTGCTCCCTTTGTAGGGCTCCCCAGAGAGGAATGAGCCAGAAGATAGTCTTAACTTGAAAAGCATCGGGTCAAACACTGCAGATCCGACCTGCCCTCCTACTGAGGTAGTTGGAAGACATTCTCTGGGGGGCTCTACAACTACCCATCGATGGCCCAAGTGCACCAGGAGCAGAGACTGCAGCATGGTGGCCCCCTCTGCACGGCATCCCATCTTTTGAGGTGTTGTGTCCAGACCCGCTGACCAGCAAGTACCTTACAGCTGTCTTATTCTGAGTGTATTTTTTAGAACTGTCTTAGCTTTTACTAGCCACCAATTGACCCTCTGCCTGGATATGGAGCAGCGTATAAATGCTGTAAGAGAGCCAGGGTGGTGCAGTGGTTAGAGCACGGGACTGGGACTTGGAGGATCCGGGTTCGAGTCCCCGCTCAGCCATGGAGCCAACTGGGTGACTCTGGGCCAGTCACACTCTCAGCCCAGCCTACCTCACAGGGTTGTTGTTGTGGGGATAAGATGGAGGAGGAGAATGATGTAAGCTGCCTTGAGCCCTTTGTAGGAAAAAGGCAGGATATAAATTATAAAAAAAAAGATTTACAACCTGCAAAAGGAAAGGAAAAAGGAAGATAAAGGAAATTATCTTCGCAACCTGCAAAAGGAGCTTTGTATTCGGGCTTAGCCGCTGCACAGAAAGCGTGCAGGGGAGCAGCAGGGCTAGACAGCCAAGATACCAAACCGCCGTTGCCGCGTCCCCCTTTTCCTTCCTCTGCTTTCCAAACCAGCCAGACTCCGGGCGCCACGCGCATTCATGGAATACCGCAAGGAGAGCAGTGGCTTCCCACGGAGGGGCCGTCGGCACAAACCGAGCGAAGGCAACGCAGGATAAGTGGGTGGATTTGGTTCCTTCGAGGGGAGAAAGGCTGCAGACTACAGACATGGCTCAGGACTCCGCAGGTGTGCAGGACTACAACTCCCACAATCCTCAGCCAGCTGTAGCCCAAGGGATCTGGAGGGCACAGGGCTGTGCCAGAGGGAGGGGCAGGTTCTTGCCAAAGAACACACGTGCACCAATTGTGTTTTCTTAAAGTAAAAACTCCATTTTATTGGTATTTTGGACAGGGACTTGTCACGACGCAGGTCCGTCGGCCTCTCTCTGGAATGTTAGCTTCTTCGGCTTAGTTGCTGCTGCTGCGATTAGCTACTTGGGGAAAAAGCCAAGCGAGGCAAATTCGAGGAAAGCACCGGCAAAGGCACCAGGCGGCCTCCGCCCCGCGTTCACAGAAGCTGAGCTGGCGGCAGGGCTACGGCGCCGGTGAACCTACTTTGCAGAGGGTGGGGGAGCAAGAAAAAGCACATTTGCGTTCTCTTCCCAGCACACTGTTCAGTCTTCTCCTCCGCACAGGTTCAACAGGGCTCTCTGATAGTCTCCCTTTGTGTCTTGCTACAAGGGACAAGAGGAGAGAGAAATGGGGGGTGGGGGGGAGAGAGAGAGAGAGGCTGAGCTTGAGCCATAGCCTTCCTACCGCCCCTTTGGGACCCCCAACCAGGCAACTTCCCCCAAGGAGGCAGGCTTGGCCTCTTGGTGTGCTTCAAATCTCCCCTGCAAGCAGGTCCCACAGAAAGAATCGGTGTACAAGAACAGGTGAAATCTTTGAGACTGGAGACCATGATGCTTGCCGAGCATCAGGGCCTGCGTAACACCACCGTGGTGGTGAACAGGACGGGCACAAAACCAAAGCGTGGCGGGATGCCGAAGGGACCCGACGCCCCTTCTCGTCACGACCGCCACACCAGCAAGTTAACTACTGAAACACAATCTCAGACTCCACAACCGTTGCCTGGCTGATACAGCAATCAACAAATGAACGATCGGGTATTTCTCTTCGTGGCCCAGGAGGTTGTGAGTCGAAAGGGGGGCAATGTATGAATACATTCAGCAGGACGATGCAGGACTTAACACAAGCAAGGTAAACTTAACAGCATCTATTCAGAAGCAAGTCCCAGTGAGTTAATCATATGAGACTTGCTCCCAGGTCAGTGTGTGTATCAGCTTCTTCAGCTCTACAGAACCCCTGAAAAAGCCTGCACAAGCACCCCTATATACCATAAATACAAGCATCAAATGCCATTTTGGTTTTTAAATCTTTGTCAAATACCACCTTTTAAACAACAGCAGCCTTAATTGGGCTCAACCTAATCTCCATACCAGATCAGCAAAGAGCTTTTCAAAATGCTATGAGGACTGATAAATCTCAGAAGGAAAAAAATTGTTGCTTGAATGAAAATATTATGGATGTGTAGACCATTTATTTACATCAGCTGGCCCATCTCATATAGGATTCAGCCAGCCCATTATTATTATTATTATTATTATTATTATTATTATTATAACATTGAGGCACATGTGACTAAAATGCAACTTTCTCTTGATTGAGGCAAACGGATACCAAATGCAGTCCATTTTGGCCACAATTCAAGTGAAATTAAAAAAATCTGCACAACGGAAATCCAACAGAATTATTATTTTTTAAAAATGTTCACTGCAAAACAGCCTCAGCATGAGGAAATCTCACTGGATTGTGCTCACAAGCAACAAAGCCACGAATCTTTTAAGATATCGAAAGATAAACTTCCATACCTCAATGGCTTGTGCAACTGAAAAACGTGAATTTATTTTTAAACGGGAAAAATAGAAGACCAGGACAGAGTGGGCGAGCCCCTTCCTCTTCATCTCTAGGAAAATATTTCTGTGGGTCTGGTGCTGGCTTTGTTCCAAATTGCATGGCCAGTCCTAACGAATGCCATTTCCCCCTCCCACCTTTTTATTATTTTCTTAATATAAACAAGCGCATAAAAAGAACATGAAGCAAAGCAAACTTAAATGAACAAAGCAGAAATCAACAGTTGCCAAGGGAAGGGTAACCAAATACTACCAGTATGTCCAGACCCCCAGATTTATCTGTCTTTCTGTCTTTTAACACTCCATGGGAGTTCAGCAAAAAAGAAATCATTAATCTATGGCACAATGAATCTTTCCATCGCTTCAACGCCATCTTTAACAGGTTGCAGAGGTAACATGTAGTCTGACCCTTAGCAAACCTGTCCCAGCCTGAGGAGGAGGTCATCCTCGTCACTGCAGAGAATTTGCTCCCTCTGTTTCCAACATTTTGGTGGAGCATAATGCTCTTTCCGAAGCCAAAATGCCACCGACACACTCAAAAAATGTGAGGGAGCCACGAGGTTTCCAGAAGTACCAAAAATGTTCAGAGAAATAAACTCTAAGCAGGAGAACCCCCTGCAGTTGTTAAACTTTTTTAACAGTATTATTTTAAGTAGATCTGCTTCGATGTTCTGGTTAAAATGACCTTTAAGAGTATGTCACTATTGGATTAAATATGATTAAATGTCATTAATCATTAACTAGATTGATTATAATTAACGAATTAAATTTAATTATGATTTTTGATGCTGTATGTGAATTGTTTGGAGATTTTTAGGAGTAAAATGGCATTGACCTATTATTAAGAGCAAAATTTTAAAAATAGTGGGACTGTGTGTCCTGAACTCAACCTGAAGAGTCAAGGATGCTGACCGTGTAGCAGACAGGAAGTGTGGAAAACTGGGAAGTATCATGGAAAAGGGACGGCTGGCGAGAACCGTCAACGGGAACACTCACCTGGATGAAGTAATACAAGGATTTCCCGTATTTCCTCTTGAATTCACTCTTAACCTTCAGCATGTCAACCTCCGAACGGGAGACCATGATCCTGATCAAGACTTTGTCTCGGGTTCCTTTGCCCTGAAAATCATTTTTGCAGTTTCAGCCTAATTGTCTGTAGCCTTTGAAGCATCAGTAAAAACAGGTTTTTGTAAAAGGACTGGATTTTTGACAGGGGGCGAATGCAGAATTATTTTGTTATGGGTCTGCGAATGGCCTGCCAGGGATCGTTTCCACCCGTGTAGATGCTCGCCCGCCTCAGATACCCAGTGGGTGCCCAGTGAGGGCTGAGACTGTGAAAGGACAACTCAACACGAGGGCAGGGGAGGGGAGGAGGGGGGAGAAGGCAAGGCTAGAGGGGAGGGGAGGGG